ATTGGTTTAACGTGGCTAGATCACCTCCAATTCCAGTGAAGCTAGCCCTCTTCCAATTGAGAAGTTCTTTTTCTAGATTATTCCTTACTCTTCCCCATTACTAATCTAAATCTTTAGATACAATAATTCTTATCCAAATGCTTTCCCATAGATACCTGGTCCACTTGGCTACCAGGACTGTATTGCTTTTCGTGAAGGATTCTCCCGTTTCAGCTTCTGCTCGTAAGATGGGAGGAGGAACACAGCACTGTGATTTGATTTTCCGAAGTGTGGGCGGGGGATGGAGTGGCAGGCGTCTTTGATGGCTGTGTAGCAGTGGTCCAGAATGTTGGGTCCCCTGGTGGGGCATGAGATGTGTTGGTGGTACTTTGGCATCACCCACTTGAGGTTGACTTGGTTGAAGTCTCCAACGACAATGAATAGGGCCTCGGGGAATTTTGTGTCTAGAGTGCTTGTGGCGGTGTAAATCTCATCTAGGCATTCTTCACATCTGCATGGGGTGCTATGTAGACTGCTGTCAGCTTGGCAGAGGCAAACTCTTGTGGTAGTTAGTGGGGACAGCATTTTACTGTAAGGTATGCTAGGTCTGGGGAGCAATAGCTTGCCAGGATCGCTACATCCATTGATCAGGAAGCATACCCACTGCCCTTTGCCTTACCCGAGGACGCCATGCGGGTCCGTGCAGGAAAGCTTTCCTCTGATGCTGCCTGGCCAGCTGTGTTCATCCAGCTCCACATCTTGTTATCTCAGACTCCAGCATCAGCAGTTCCTACTATCTCCGAGCTTGTAGGGTGCAGTTGGGAATGGCAGGGGCAAGCCAAGTCTCCGTGAAGCAGAGCACACAACAGTCTCTCAGTTCCCTCTGGTAGGTAAGTCTAGATCCGAGTTTATCCATTTTGATACTTTGGACATTCGCTAGGAGTATGTTAGGGACGGGAGTCTTGAAACCATGTTTTTCAACCTCACCTTCAGGCCAGCACATTTTCCCCATTTCCTTGTAGGTTTCCTGCATCTCGACAGTCCCAGGAGTTGGTGCTGCAAGTTGTGGCTCCAACAGATAAGTGAGTCGGGTCTGGTTGGGCTGGACCTTCCCCAGGGTGGGATGCTGCAAGGTCGGAGTTCGGGCCTGGGCTGGTCCAGTCTACTTGGGGACGGATCACGGCAGTGGAATTTCCGAACTTGGGCAGTCCTGGGCGCTGGTGGAGCGAGTCTTCATTTCCTGCAGTTAAGTGAGTCAGGCCTGGACATGTTGAGTCTCTAAGAGTCTGGTAGTCGGGGGATGGGGGATTGGAGACTAGGCCTAGGCCGGTCAGGCCTCCTCGAGGTCACGCTGCTGCTGGTCTTGGGTCGGTCAGGCCTTCACTACGACTGTGTTGCCAAATTGCAAACAAACATCATCTAAAGATTGCTGATGACACCACCATAGTGGTTCGGATAACTAACAATGACAAGTCAAACTAGAAGGGAGATAGAGGGCTTGGTGACGTGGTGCAATAAAAACAATCTGTCCCTCAATGTCGGCTAAACTAAAGAACTGATCATTTACATTCAGAAAGAAAGGAGAACACGCCCCCATCTGCATCAATGGAACTGAGGCTGAGAGGGTAAACAGCATCAAGCTCCTCGGAGTGACGATAACCGACAACGTGTCCTGGACTTCCCACATAGATGCGACAGTCAAGAAGGCACAACGTCTCTTCTTTCTCAGGTGGCTCAGGAAATTTGGCATATCCATAAGATCCCTCACAAACTTCTACAGATGCACCATTGAAAGCATAGTGTCCAGGTGCATAATGGCCTGGTATGGCAACTGCTCTGCCCAGGACCATAAGAAACAACAGAAGGTGGTGTGCACAGCCCAGATCATCACGGAAGCCAAACTTCCATCCATGGACTTCAGTTACACAGCTTGCTGCCGCAGAAAGGCTGCCAACATCATCAAAGACCCATCGCACCCCGGAGACAATCTCCTATAACCTCTTCCATCAGGCAGAAAGTACAGAAGCCTGAACATATGCACGAACAGGTTCAGGAACAGCTTCTTCCCGGCTGTTATCAGACTGATGAATGGACTCTCTAGCGTCAAATAATGCTGATCTTGCTAACTTTGATCTCACTTAGCACAGGACACACCCTGTGCAATGCAACCTGTATGCCTCTGCCTAAGTCTTTTTGATCTGTAAATCGTTTGCTTACTACAATCTGCCTGTACCGCTCGTAAACAAAACTTTTCACTGTATTTTGGTACAAGTGACAATAAATCAATCAATCAATCATTTCCCAGCACCATATCCAGTAAAGCCTCCTTCCCAGTTGGACTAAAAATGTACAGGTCAAAGAAATATTCATGAACACTTTGTATCTGAGGTTTCTGAGTGTTCAGTCCTCACTGTCTTGAATTCAGGTTTCTGTTATGATCACAACATGTTCCCACATGGCTTTTCACACTTGTAGCTGTGAATCTTATATCTTGTGCTTTTGTAAACATAGAGACAGCTTTAGAATGTATGTCTTGCAATTCTACTTAGTTTTTTATATCTAATATGGAACTTTTCTCCAGTACTATTCAACAATTATCTATACATTCCTTTATGAACCTTATTCAATTTTGTTTTTCTTCCATATGCTGGAGCTTTGCTTTCAACTAAATTAGTTTAAAACCTCTTCCCAACAAGACTAGTGAACATTCTTGTGGGGACTCTGGTCGACTCCTGAAGTGCAACCTATCCCTTTGTGCGATGCCTCCTATCCCAGAACTGATGGCAAAGTGCTAAGAATGTGGAGCGCCTTCTCCTGCATCAAGCCCCAAACCACACATCAGTTCTCCCTGCCTTCCTATATCTACTTTTACTAATGCATGGCACTGGGCACAATCCAGTGATTATCATCTTCAAGGTTTTATCTTTAACTGTCTCCCATTCTCCTCAATACCAATTCTGTGCCTTTGGTATCAACATGCGCAGATAATCTGTACTCTCCCAATGATGTCCTTTACCCTGATACTAGAGGGCTCAATGACCGTTACAGAAGCACCTGTTTGTCTCCTCACTATGGAACCTCTTCTAATGACTGCATTTTTATATATCGTTGGTCTTCCTTATGTGGGTTCCTTGTACATTGGCATCATGGTCTGGAGTGTTTTTCTTTGTAGTTTAATTAGCTGCCAACTAAATAACGTTCAGTCAACATTGCTTTTGGTTTGTTACAATAAAATCTTAAAACTTGAAACCTTGTATGATTATTCATTGGAAATGCAACTTTCTTGTGTAGAGTTATCAGTCTCTATAGGATCCTAAGGTATTATGATAGAAGTTAGTTGAAATAGCATGAACTGGCATTTTATGTTGCTTTCTTAAAGCTGCAAACAGTAGGTAACTTTTGATATCTCCATAATCAATAAACAGCTAACATCCATTGTACTGGAACAAGCCTACTCACAAGTCATTTCAACAGTTGTTTCGCAAAGGCTGTCATCTTGAGATTTAAATATAGGAAAAAGAAGAAGGGAGAGATAGGGACACAAATAGTCAATTGAGCTTTACAATACAAATCTGCCAGGATACGTCTTCCCTAGATTCAGAATGAAAATGCAAAACAATGAGAAAATTATTTTAAGTCAAGCAAGATGATGAAAAGTATCATAGCATGTTATTATTTTATAATTTTACACAGATTGTACTGATTAATTATGTCAATACTACCATGAATATTTGTCTGTTCTCAGTTATTGTGAAATAAAGCAATTTAATTAGTAGCTTATTATACCTCACCAGGTACTTTCTCAGTCTGTTTCAAAACAGCTGGCAGATATATATATATGCGTATGAAAGGTGTGAGCACTGATTCAAATCACAACAGAAATGTTATTCTTTAGGTTACATTATTGTATAACTAGGTGTTCAACATAAGATGCTCAGACTGCTTAATTGGCTAAGATCCTAAATCCATAAGGAGAAACTCAGAAACTCCCCAGAAACAGCAAGCTGATGAAAGGAATTGGTGAAAGATTTGTTGGCACACCTTGCTCCTTTGGTGAAATTTAAACCAAGAACTGGAACAGAGCAGAACATTGATGAAACTAAGTTCAGCCCAAGGACTCATCCCTTTTGAATAATTCATCCAATTTAAGTCCTGGCTACTAATCAGAATTTGGACATCGAGTCTCTAAATCTACCAATGTGATAAACACTAGGAACCAGTTTCAAGTTTTTGGCCTCCAAATTAAAATTAGGTTTATATAATTGATGCTCAAGTGACTTACATGATATGAATTTGTGCAGTGTCAGCTTAGTTCTTCACCAGATACACTAAAATGCGACTGCGAACAAATATGCTCAATAGGAGCAGTAATCAAAAGCAACTGCATGCAGGAGAATTTATATTATGAAATTCTTCCCCAATCCTTAGATTTATACCAGAAAATTCGGTCTTGCTAATTAGCAACAATCTAATCAGAATATCTAAGAGTAATTTCTGCACTCAAAAACAGAATCATCTAATAATTTAAATTCATCATAACTTAGTTATATTTCAGGGTTAGAAAAATGAACCATCAAGTAATTTGATTTAAGCACCTTCTGAGTGCAGAGCAACAGACTGCATACCTACCAATCGTTTATGCAAAAAACTTTTTTGGTTTGGATCCTGCATTTTTTTTGCTGCCTCTCATAGTCCACTAGGAGGAATTTAATGTAATGTTCCTGAAAAAATTATTTTTTAATACTGTATTTTTCAGTAGTTTGCAAAGGTAGCACTAAGGTAGCCGCTGGCTAAAACATCTAACCCACAGTTGCAAATTGTGTGTTGGGATAATATAGGATTAACTGAACAATACAATTGCTTCACAACTATAACTTTATGTTAGTCCCAAACCCTAAGTTGTTCCCAAGCTCTCCATTTCTTATTTGCTTTAGTCAGTTACTGTCCCTCTTCCCCCTTCTGCCCTGCATTCTATTTTACCCAATTATCCAACTCCTTTCTTTTCTTGTTCAGATTCTTACCTCCAGTGTTTCCGTCGACGATCTTTACTACTTCGAGATCGACAGTGCCCCTGTCCTTTCCTTCCGTTCCATGAGTGCTGCCATTTCTTTTAACTGTCATGGCACAACCTGCTCCAGGAGAATCCACAATAAACACAACGGCCATGGCATAGTCTCCTTCACAACTCAGCTGCCAAGTCATCAAAAATGTTCTGTCTCTTTCCTTTGGTCAGATTCAAATGGATGAGAGGCAGCAAGAGGACAGGAGGTCAGAAAATCTGGACTTAATTTTTCTTTCTTTTCAAATTTATACTTGACTCTCACTTATGCTCTAACTATCCTTTTCAACACATTTCTATTTGACTTTGCCATAATTCTCCCCTGCGTTTCCTGCAACATTCACACTGGCACCTTGGAGACAGGGAATGGTGATGGAGCAGGCAATTTTTTAGTACCGGAGGGTTGTTAACTGTGTCCACAAGAGGCAGGCTTTCTCAAAACAACAGAATTGGAAGGTAATTTGGAAGTGACATCAGGCAGATGAAGAAACACAGGAAGTGGGAGTAGGCAAGTTCACATGCTTGATATCGACGAACAAAAATCATCACAGCACATCATAGTATAATTCAGAAGGTTAAAAAAGAATGTCAACTTCATTCCTCTCAGGGTCTTATCATGCCATTGTCATTCAACCCATACCTTTTAAGCAATGTGATAATGACACAGATCTGGTGATATTTTAAAATTGATTACGGTACACAGCTGAGCTCTATCGATCCTGAAGATAATACCGATTGAAGATAACTGAGTTAACTAGAATTCTAAGCAGATGCTGTTACGTGATCTCGCAGGTCAAACACAATTAAAGACCTCAGAACTACTGGCAGGATGTGATTAATTAGAACTTCCTAAATTGAG